AGTAGAAAAAACTGTTCAGCTCCTGGTAACCAGGCAGGAAGGGTGGGGCACAGGATACCCCTCCAGTAACCCACCTCCTCCAGCCACTCCCCACCCAACTACAGTAGTCCTTTCCAAGTAGGATGGACTGATTAGTTTACAGCTTTCACAATCCCATCAGTTCACTTCTGATCAATCCTGCTTTAACAGAGGAGTTTCAGGGGACACTTGATATCCAATCCATAACAACACCTAAAACTTCTTGTATAGACACTTTGAAATATTTGAGTCTAATTCTATTTTCTTTGGTACAACTTTCACATTGCATGTTCATTTTAATTTGATATATTTCATGCAGGCAAAATATAGGTCAATTTTTGGACTTTTTATAGAACTACCCTTGTTCAATAGCATAGGAAAATATTCTTGCAATTGTCTGCTGTACTTTTACTTTATGTATATGAAACATGTCTTCTTTGAGAATGGTTATGTACACCTACCAATGTTTACTGTTATGCCTTTTGTCTTTATATGTCAATTTGGTTGAACACTATTTATGACTTCAGAAAAAAATGCTCAGAATTTTTTTAAAAAATCAAAAGATCTTTAGCCAAAACTCATTGAAAATTCAGATGCATTTGTATAATTGATTGTGCAATTGTCTTCAGATTTTAAATTTCATTAGGGTAAAAGCCGTGTCTTATATCTAAGCCATGTCTAGTATAACCTTAATACTTAACAAGGCATTTGACATAAAATCATGAACTCAAAAGTAATTATTTCAATATAATTGAATTAAATTGTTTTAATGTGTTTGCTATGTGTTATTTAAATAGATCACCATCTCCTGTTTACCTACCATACCCTACCCACTATCTGTTCACTATGTAAGATTTAACAACCAAGCATATTTATGTGTGTGTGTGTGTGTGTGTGTGTGTGTGTGTGTGTGTGTGTAGATAGATAGGTGTTAGCCTTATAGCAATAAGTTTTATTAGAGCAATATTAAGCAGTATTTATCAAACTCTTCCTCTGTTTCCTAAAATTCAAAACACTAGATATCCTACTTGAACCTCTTAAATCTTTTATACTTATTAGAAAAAGGCAAACACCAGCTCTATCAATCCATTTTCTAAGCTAAAATAACATTAAGTTATTTTAAACAGGCAGAAGTTTTATTCAGTAACATAAATGCTTTCAAAAACTTTGGAAGGGCTGATGGAGCAGAATATAGGCTATACTGCTGCAAGGACTCACAGAGCCATTCAGAACTAGTTCCCTGGGGCATTTATCATTTCTGAGACTGCCACAGGAGCTCAGGCTGAAAAAAAAAAATAGGCCTTCAATGCTACTCTGTAAAAGAGCACCAAACACTACTTAGAAAAGTCTCTTGTTTTCGAGATCTCACTGTCCAGTAACATGAGCCAGGAGCTGACAGAATTTAGCCTCTGTCTCCTTTACTCCCCTCCAAAATCTGGCCACAGTACTTCTAGTTGACTGAAACTCGTTTGCATTAAAAATAATAGTTGCAGAAGAGTTTGAGATACGCAGGTTTTTCCAAGTTAAAAAAATGATAAAAATTCTAGTTCAGAAATGTACATTAAAATCAATTCCTTTTGTTCACAGTAGGAGAAAATTTATTGGGAAAGCAAAAGAATGAATTTAGAAATCTTAGGTATAATTCTAGCCCTAACATTTGTTAATGTGAGCAAGTCATGTGCTTTCTCTGAGACACAGTTTACATCCTTTATAGCAACATCCTTTATAGCAACATCCAGTCCTCCTTAGAGAATTATCCTGAGGGTCACATGAGACATAAATGTAAAAACATTAAATAAATATTAAGAAATTGCAAAGACGTGATCAGTAAGAATGATTTTTTAAAAATAGTATATAGCAATATAGCTGCTATTAGATATTTGGTGTTAAATGCATTTTATTTGCACTTGTTTTTGAAAAATGGTGGTATTTTTTATATAGGCTATAGTTTACCATAATATCATTTTCCAATTAACAGAAATGTAATATAAGTGGAAAAATGAAATAAGTCAAAATCTCCTGTAAATACTTGTGCCAGTGTGTCATATTATAGCATCATAGAATTCCTAGATTCTTTTTTTTTTAAGAGAGAGTGAGAGAGGAGAGAGAGAGATAGAGAGAATTTTTTTTTTAATATTTATTTTTTAGTTCTCGGCGGACACAACGTCTTTGTTGGTATGTGGTGCTGAGGATCGAACCTGGGCCGCACACATGCCAGGCGAGCGCGCTACTGCTTGAGCCACATCCCCAGCCGAATTCCTAGATTCGTTAGGAGACATTGTTCTACCAAATAATAAAAGCTATATTTAAAATTATTCATTCCGCCATTTATATCTGTTTTATAGAATTTTGGGTGCTTCCTATATTTACATTGAAAAGCCTTTCAAATTTTGTAACTTTTGTGATCTTGTGTAAATATGAAGTTGGGTTCATTTTTTAGTTGGCCAGGTCTCTATAAAGTGGGTTTTAAGCTTCCAGACAGTAAAGAATGAAGCTTTCTAGTTCAGTAAGCCCCTTGATAACAGGAAAAGAGTTACTGGGGAATTGCTTTTCACTTTGTGTTATCATTTAGATTGAAAAAGTATAAACTCATAATTATCTAGTGTGATTTACTATTTTGATTGAGCTCCAGTTGCCAGTGTGATAAGATGACCTTATGAACAGAATAACATTGAGCCCCCAGAAATCAATAAGTATAATAAAATCTTTTTACTGACCCTTCCTTCCTACTCACCAAATCAATTGCTTTTTACCTTCTGATTTTTCATGAAAAGTTCTACAATTCATTTTACTACCTGTCAAAATGAAACATCTTTTTTTTTTTAAGAGAGAGAGTGGTTTGATATTTCAATTCCCTTTACTGATTTTTTCATTTCTTTGTTTCTAGGACACTAACATACTTATCTAATATTCCAGTCCCCCAATTTGGAATAAAACATAAATAGTGATAGAAAATGAGGACTAACAAAGTGATTATTAAAGACAATTAGCGTTCATCAAGTGTTTTGTCATTCTTCAAATTATGGGATGAGACTCATAAAATCTCTGTATGAATTACTTGGAAAAGTAATAAGAGGATAACACATTTTTTTTTCCTTTCCTACGAATCAGAAGTTACCTCCCAGACAATAGTCCTATAAATTCTATGTACCAGACACAGGGATTTGAACCCCCTTGAGCCTAGGTTCCTGGATTGGGTAAATTTGTGTCCCTCTCACATGTAGTGCAGCCACAGGCTCACAACATCTTGGTTATTGGACGCTTGCTCATCCTCAAAATACTGCGATACTTCACTGGGCAACAGGAACAAACCAGGGAGAAGTAAGGTTTCTTCAAGTACTGTACATGGCCCCCAGTGATGTGTCAGAGTTACACCAGTTACCTGCCCTCTCTGATAGCTTTCAAGTACTTTTATTACTGGACTTTTTCCATCCTTGCCTCATATTGAAGATAAAAAAGCTCCAGGCCTATAAGTATAGTTCAGCAGTAGAGAGCTTATCTAGCATGTATTAGGCCCTGAGTCCAATACTCAGCACTGAAAAAAAATAAGTAAATACAATCTCTTGGAAGAAGTCTTTTTTTTTTTTTTTTACACACACCAAACAATGAGTTTTCCCTAGTGTCTAACAAAATACTGCAGCTCATTTTACAGCATTGATTTCATAATTCAGTCTTCCCACAGAGTCATTTATTGTAATAGTTGTTAGAAAACACATAGTCTTGATGAAAGAGAAGTGAATTTGGCTATACAATGAGGGTCATTCCAGGAAAGGAAGAATGATGGACACTTGTGAAATATTTAGGGCCCATCTTCCGAGCTGAGTGTGGCATATGACTTAAGTATTGTAGACATGTGATCCATTCACTGCTTGTTTTTTTAATACCAAACTGAATTCTTTTTCTTTGCTGTGTACCATGTAATAGAAAATATAAATGGAGATTGTCAAGTCAACACTTTTGTGTTCTGTTTATTGATTCAATCAACCTTCATATATGACTGTGCATTGTAATTTATAACTTCAATTGATGAGATTCAATCCTACAAGGAGTCTTTATAAAGCAGATAAGCATTTAAAGGGAAAGGTATAAAGAAGTAGAAATTAGAAAACTGCAGATCTATTTCATGTACCTAAAATTATAGCACCATTCTTTGACAATGTGCTCATATTCTTGCTTTAAATTTATACCTGTTTTCCTTCAGAGTTGACTGTTTACCCAAGGTAAGTATCTCATAGTGAAGTGTATGCTGTATAAAAATAAATTGATTTACTAAAGCTTAAAACCAGGAGTAAAATCTTAACCTTTCTTTTTCCTTGTGGCTCTGTATCCAAAACATCACAGGCAATTATATAGCATTAATAACCTGCCTTATAATTCAACCACCCATAATATAGATTTGTTTTCCACCTTCACCTAATCTGCATCATAGAAATAGTTCCCTAAGATATGACTATGATTCATTTACTCCCTTATAGTTCATGTCCCCAGATTCTTCTTAAAATAGAGTATATGTTAAGTGTACATGCTCATATTATGGAAATATAAATACTTCTAAATCCTTTTGTTTACCTGTAAAAGTTCATCACTTTCATGGTTCATGCTTACCTTTCTTGTTTTGTACACACACACACACACACACACACACACACACACACACAGAAACCACATGTTCTTCCCTCTAGCTTTGGGCACTTGCTCAAATAATACATTTAAAAAAAATTCCTATGTTTATCTGAAGAAAGGCCAAATTCACTTCCTATCTTTCCCCAAAAACTTTCTGTATTCAAAATTCAGAATATCCACATACCATATGCCCCAAGAGATTATAAACTGCAGAAAGATTAAAAATTCCATTTTGCTAGTTCATTTTATATTTATTTCTCATACTCAGCATAAAATTCAGTGTATTCTCTATAGGAGGTATCTGCTTTTTAATTGATTGAATTGATCACCTTCCATCCTGATGTTCTGACTTCTTTCAGGAACATGGCATACCGATCAACATGGGTTATGCTGTGGCCCCACATCACTCAGGGGTCTACCCGGTTCATATTCAGCTGTATACGGCTTGGAAGAAGGTCTGGGGTATTCAGGTCACCAGCACTGAAGAATATCCACATTTGAAACCTGCACGGTACAGAAAGGGCTTCATTCACAATAGCATCATGGTGAGTACATACCACTGTGTATCGTTGAAGGTTTTTGAGATTTACACATGGATTGAAGACAGATCACCATTCCCATTAAGGATACAGAATCAAACTCCTTTTACATGAATTTCAGATATTCCCAACCTACCATGGTGGTGACTGGGTCACACACAAATACGTTGTTTGGCTATAAGATTCCTTCCTAAACTGTGGAGTGAATTTGGCGAGTCTAAGACAAACTAGATATAGCGGAAATGAGTCTTGTATAGATTACCCACTGAGGTTTCAGAATTTAAATTTGGTCTAGCGAGCCTATCCTTCTCCTGAATAATTCCTCAATTCTATTTGTCTGGGTAGTTTAACTGAGAGTTAAAGGCAGGTTATGGTTCCATAGATCAAGAAAACTCTTCTCAAAATGCTGCACTGTCAACAGAAAGAAGGGAATAAAATAGCACCTGAGAGCTAAATTTATCCGCTCAATTTGACTCTTAGGCTACTTCTCTTTTTGTCCTCCTTTTCTAGGATACTCCCAAAAGGGTGGTATGTATTTCCACTTTGTATGTTACAGAACAAGTACAGAATGATATATCCATTCTTGTAAATGAGAATAAAATCATTACTTCTTGTAATAAAAAAAAGATACTAATAAATTGGATCTAAAATGGTCTGTTTTAAAAGGTCTATCTCCATTTCTTGTATCTCATTACTAGTTGTCAGACTCAGAATAATGGTTTATAAAATGTTCTATTTTAAATATTTGCACTGTATCAATCCTTTATTCATATTGTTGTTACAATTATGTATCTATCTATCAATCTGTCTACCTAATCACTATCTAAAATCAAGGAAAAGGCACATTCATCTATCTAGAGCTGGTATTCAATATTCATTTACCATGAAACTTTAATTATTTTATTGAAAATTGATAAAAGAATACCTAAAGAAGATGCTAAGTCAAGTGACACTTGTCAATAATAAAAATAGTGACACAGATATCTCTAGGAATCTAGGAGGAATAAAAGGAATTACTCATATTACTTAAAATCACCATGAAACTACTCATTATTTTTCCTTTATTAGGTTGCATAACCATTCAACATCTTATGAAATGAAAATATTCCCTTGAACCAATATTATATACATTCACTTACCTTAAGTTTAATCAGATTTATGAAAATCAAATGAAGAGTAAATATAATTATTGCTACTCTGTTCATTTGGGTACAATTTTCATTAGATTATAAGTAGTTTTCTCTTCAAAATAAAAATCTGGAATAAAATTACTTATTTGTTTTCTCTGTTGAACATTCAGATTTGCAATGTAATTAATCACAAAATATGCCAGAAATAATCATTAGATGGTATGGCTACTCCTGTGGTAAAATAAAATTCAGAGTAGAGTTAAAAAAGAATGTGGTGGGTGATGGTGATAACAATTGTCTATTTTTAATCCCAGAACCTGAATGCAATGGAAGACTAAATTTTAGAAACAAGGAGAGGAATGGCCTAATTGCACAAGAAATACAACCTTGGAGGCTTCGCATTTTTAAATGAATCCTAAAACAACTTTTCTTTTTTAACCAATCATTTAACATAAAGTCAGGTGGGACTTTACAGTTACAGAACCACGTGAAAATTATTTGCTCTGTAAATTCTGTATCTTTAATTTGTTAATTCCCTTAATATTTACAAAATTATACCAACATCAACTCGGTAAGATTTTGACCTCATCAATCAAGGCCCTTTAATAGGAATTGACATTTGCAGATTCTAAAGTGATAAAATAGTGGTGGATTTCTTAATTAAGTCATGCCCATGTGCCATTTTTACTCCCTTTTCTCAGGTTCTCCCTCGACAGACCTGTGGGTTATTCACCCACACTATTTTCTACAAAGAATATCCAGGAGGACCCCAAGAATTGGATAAAAGTATCAGAGGAGGTGAACTTTTCCTCACAATCCTTCTAAATCCGGTATGGGTTCTATTTATGTATCTTACAATTACTTTGGTGTCTTCAAAATATTTCACTTTTATTTTTTAACGTGAATTATCTTTGTGGGTTTTTTTTCTTTTTCATGAGCAGCATACTTTGACTGACAATGGGTTGAAATTTGTAGTTCAAATCATTTTCTTGATAAAGTTAACTTATTTGGGTAGATCTGATTACAAAGTGGTGTTTTTCTCTGAGATGTGATTGATGAAAAGCTTATTTCTAGCAGTAAAAGAGGTGTTATGTATTCTACTTTCATAAGCTACTTCTTTTTTTCATTTGGCTTTATTAAGGTATAATTGACACATAAGAATTTTTTGGAATGTAGAGTTTTCTATATATAAGACCACATTGTCTGCAATCTAGGGCAATTTAACTTTTTTCCTTTTCAACTTGGATGCCTTTCATTTCTTTTGCTTGCTTAATTGCTCTGGCTAAAACTTAATATAAATTTGAGTAACAATGGTGAGACTGTGCATCCTTGTCTTGCTCCTTATCTTAGAGAAAAAGCTTTTAGCTTTTCATCATATGATGAAGTGTGATGAACCTGAAGTCAGCTGTGGGTTTATCATATATTGGCTCTATGGTGTATTCCTCTCTAATTTGTTGGGGGTTTTTATTATGAAAGAATACTGGATTTTCTCAAATGTTTTTTATTGAGATGATCATGATTTTTATTCTTTGTTCATTCCGTTTCTGTGGTGTATCTCATTTAATGACTTGGATATGTTGAACCAAACTTGCATCCCTGGGATAAATCACACTAAATCATGGTAAAGGATCCTGTTATATATTGTTTAATTTGATTGGCTACTTTTTGTTGTTACTGAGAATTTTAGATTCTAAATTTATAACAAATAAATTTTCTTTTTGTTGTTGTTATTGTGTTCTCACATATTATTTACTTCAGTCTCTAAAAATGTTCACCATGCAAAATGCTGCACTGAAAATATGTACCCATGTATTATCCTTTTTTTTTTTTTTGGCCAAGGACATGAGTGGTTTATTTAATTTTTTAACATGTTCTAATTAGTTATACATAACAGTAGAATGCATTTTGACACAACTTCTCATTCCTCTGGCTGTACCTGGTACAGAATCACACCAGAAGTGTATTCATACATGAGCATAGAGTAATAATGTCTATTTTATTCTACTGTTCTTTCTATCCCCACAGCCCCATCCTTCCCACCCCTCAGTCCCATCTGCACAATCAAAAGTTCCTTTGTTCTTCCTTCCCCAATCTCAACTGTGAATCAGCAAACATTCAGAGCAAACATTCAGCCTTTGGTTTCTTGGGATTGGCTTATTTCACTTAGCATATTCTCTAGTTCCATCCATTTACCACCATAATTTCATTCTTCTTTAAGACTGAGTAATATTCCACTCTGTTTATGTACCACATTTTCTTTACTTATCTGTTGAAGGGAATCTAAGTTGGTTCCATAGTTTAGCTATTGTGAATTGAGCTGCTATAATCATTGATGTGGCTGTGTCTCTGTATTCTGCTGACTTTAAGTCCTTTGGGTATAAACTGAAGAGTGGGATAGCTAGGTCAAATGGTGACTATGTATTATTATCTTTATACAAAGATAACCATCCTGGTAATATAAGGTGCATTTTTAAATTTTTAACTAATTTTATTTGAAGTAAAAAACAGACAACTCGTGATTGGACCATTAGGGCTCCACTTTTGTTGTGGTTTGGATGTGAGGTGTCCCTCAAAAGCTCACATCTGAGACAATGCAAGAAGGTTCAAAGTAGTAATTATTTGGCCCTGAGAGTTTAATCCAATCAGTGAAGTGATCACCTGATGAGATTAATTGATTGGAAATCGAAGACAGGTGGGTTGTGGCGGGAGGAAGCATAGCATTTGGGGTGTGGCTTTGGGGTATAAATATGTATCTTGCAAGCAGAGTCTCTCTCTCTATTTTCTGATCATCGTGTGAGCTGTTTCCCTCTGCCACACTCTTCCATTATGCTGTTCTGCCCCATATAGAGCCCTGAGGAATGGAACTGGTTTTCTTTGGACTAAAACTGGAAACCGTGAGCCCTCAAATAAACTTTCCTTCCCTAGACTTGTTCTGGTCAGATCTTTTAGTCACAACAGCAAAAAAAGCTGACTAAATCAACCCTCATGAGTGAATTTAAAATATTTTTCAGGAGTACGTATGCTTGCTTGCATGCAGACTCTCTCTCTCTCTCTCTCTCTCTCTCTCTCTCTCTCTCTCTCTCTCTCTCTCTCTCTCTTCTCTCTTTCTCTCTATTTTTATGCCATTATACAGCAAGAAAGGTCTCACTAAACTTTCCAGGCTCCAGAACAGAGAGCCCATAGATTTCTGCACATATAATTTATATATATATGGAGAGAGAGAAGCATATGTCTATAATTATATGTATAAATATAAATCAGAGGATTGGACACTTTTTTCTATAATTGTGTCCTTACATCTTTCAAATTTGCAATGATATTTTTTATAAATATATGTATAAATCAGGCCTCACTCTATGGGAATATATTTTCATTAGATAATGTTAGCATTATTTAAGCTTTCTGATTTTTTTTCTCCCACAATGATTCCATTTCTGGGGCTCCATTAGAAAAGCATGTCCTCATTTAGGTCCCAGAAAACATGCACAAGAAAGACATGAGATCAGAACACAACATAACAGGTAAGCACTTAATGTGGAAAGCAGATTAAAAATTAGCTAAACAAAATTGAGGGGGAAAGTTAATAAGCTGAAAAATTTTTTTGTACAAATGGGATTTACACTGTCCACCCTGCTTAATTTAAGAAATTTTCTGAAAGAAAAAGATATATCCTTTAGATAAAACTAGAGCTAAATCATGGTGAAGCACCAGGTATGTTTGAAGGTATATTTTGTTAGATATTTATATATAACATTTTAATTTATGAATAGAAAAGGGACATAAATTGCATGAATTTTTTTTTCAAAACTTGTAAATTAGATTGGAGGGATAGGAAATGGAGATAAAATGATTTATCAGAGTGTAGTAAAAAAACTTTGTTCTCCAAACAAAACAGTCAGTTAAATCACAGTGTTGAAATGGCTCTAAACTTGGAACAGGAGCTTGATGTCCTGTGATCCTTAGCAGAGTACTTTATTTCTCAGACTTGCTTATTTTCCTGTAAAATAAACTAGTTGAACTTAATAATTTTCAGTGTCTCTCAGAGGTACTCCCATTGAACCTAAACGCAAGATAGTCCAACTGGTTGTAGATATTACAAATTTAATGCTTTTGTGTGTATTTTAAAGGTACTAAGGGCATTATAAAAATAATTTTCAAAAACTGAGATGCACATGTGTATATTAATGAAGCAAATGTGGAAATCTCTTTCTTTATCCCTTCCTTCACTGAAATTTTAAACTCAGCAGGAGCAAGAGTTCCTTCATATCATTTAGTTCCTGGACTCTACTCTTGACTGCTTATTTGCTCTATCATCTCCTAAGGGAAAGTCAGTATTCATCAGAATATTGTACCTCCCCCAAACCTCTTGCCCCATGTTTGATTGTTATTGGTGTTTACTAGTTGGGTGCCTAACTACTTGTTATTAAAAACATGAATTTTATGTCTCTCTCTTTAATTATTTTGAATCCAGTGCCCTTCATAAAGCATAATTCTGAGACATAAATGTTGTCCTTTAAATGAGATAAGTTGTTTGGTTTCTAGAATTCCATCTTCAACACTTATGAACTAACAAATGTATACTAAGCCCTACTAGCTTCAGTGAATAGGCTCATCATTAACACACAAGTGTATTTTAATTTCAGACAGAACATAACAGTGAAAGAAGAGAGTTTCAGGAGGGTTCTCATATCCAATTGCAAACTTTCCTTGTTTTAGCATTGTGACTTGATGGTGAATTTTTTTTTTTAACAAATTAGAATAGATGGATAAAGGAGAGAGACCTGGACAGATAATGCAGAAAGAGCAATGCTAAAGATGGTCAATAGCAGGGATAAGATCATACATTCTAATATGGCAATGTGAAATTTAGATCAGGGAACTGGTAGTCGACAAAGATGTGGGATTGAAGAACAATATTGTTTAAAACAAGGAAAGTGCATAACTACAAGAAATACAAGTTGATCTTACTGAGCTCGTTAGGCAGAAGGGCTACAGGCAGCCTAGAGCACAGATCAAATGGAGCTTAGTTCCAGGGCTGCATAAGCATGAGCTAACAGGTGTTTTAGATAGGTTTCTCCAGAGAAATAGAACCAAAAAGACAGAGAAAGGGACAGAAAGCAAGAGTCAGAGACTACAGAGAGGAGAAAGAGATTGTTATAAGAAATTAGCTCATACAATTATGGGGACTGTCAAGTTCCAAGATCCACTATGCACTCAAGACTCTGGAGACCCAGAACAGGAAATAGTGTTTCCAATCTGAATCCAAGGCCTGAGAGCCAGGAGAACTGAAATAGTATAGATTCAATCCAAATGCCAGCAGGTTTAAAATTAAGATCTAAATCTAAAGATTTAACATTTCCGTTAGAATCTGAAGGCACACATACACAGACGCACACAGACACACACACACACACACACACACACACACACACACATTCAGTGTCCTGTGAGGCAAGAGAAAATTCCTTCTTACCCAGCTTTTTAGTTCTATTCAGGCCTTCAAGTGATTGGATGAGGCCAATTTACACTAGTGAAAGCAATCTGCTTTATTCTATGTCAGTGATGTGTACTGGACTTATTCATATGCTGTACTCATCCAAAAACACCCTCATGGGTATACTCCAAAAAATGTTTGACCAAATAGTTGGGCATTCTGTGGCCCAGTCAAGTTGACATATACCAATATAACAGATAACAAATTTAATGTGGAAAGCAGATTGAAAGTTAGCTAAACAAAATTGAGTGGGGGTGGATAATAAGCTGAGGATTGTTTTTTTTTTTTTTGTACAAGGGTTTTCTTATGAACAGATAAAACATTATAGATAATGGG